CCTCCCAGCCCTTCCCCCTCTTTTCTACGGGAGGTGACCCAAGTAATGAAGGCGCATTTGTGCTTATGGTACTATGATGTATCTCCATGTCCGAATGTATGCGTTCTGTGTTTGCTTGACAGATCATTTGGGTATGTGCATTGCTGGGTTTTTTTCTTAAATTGCTGTTCAAGGATATGGTGGTAGCTGCGAGGGGGGGGGTAATTGCTCGCAACTGCCTTAGGTCATATGAGCGCGCGGGACCCTCCAAACATTTTCAGAAAGTAGGAAAGTTTGATTTTTGCCAGGGTGGCAGCTTAAGCCTACTCTTGTCGATTTTGGGTATTCAATGGATATTTTAACGCGCGCAACTTGCAAACGGGATCTCCAAGATTTTCGCCCTTCTCAGAGAAGGTTAGATGTAGATCTTACCTACCACAAGATCAGGGGGTGTGGCTGAAAGACAGCAGTAAGAAGGGGCCAAGGAGATGCAGTAGAAAGGCTGCAGAAAGAGCTAGGAGCCCAGGAGGGGGAGGGGCAAAAGAGGTTAAGGGGTGTTGGCAGAAATGTAAAACTCTTACTCGTACTAAACAAACAAAAAAACAAAAAGATTAGAGTGTCTACTGCTTATATGTAGATAGTGGTGATCATCGCTACTTAATCGCTTACGCATTTGTATTTACCTCCTTATTTCATCTGCTTCTGATATCGTGTCTTCAGTTGAAGTAATTTACCATGATTAATCTTAATAAATAAATAATATTATTCATATTATTATTCTTAGCAACTTAGTGTAGGGGCGAATGATATGAGCGCAGCGATAACAAGGACCACAGATGGGGGAAGGGGTGGGTTATTGTGTTGGGGGGGGGGGTTGTTTTGTTTTTTGTTCGACGATCTGGCCCGGAAACAACAACAAATTAATGTTACGTTGATGATGATGATGATGATGATGATGATGATGATGATGATGATGATGATGATGATGATGATGATGATGATGATGATGATGATGATGATGATGATGATGATGATAATGATGATGATTACAATAGCAATTATAATAATTATTATTACCATAATTATATGACAGTACATACATTGATCATTGATACTATAACTAACTATAGCTTTTTCTTTTCTAAAGGCTTTCCGCTATATTTTGCTCGCATGCACCTATGCGAATCATGCTATAAATTAAAGTATATTTTGTTACCACAGTGTTGCTATTTTTTAAATTACGTTCCTGAAGAAGCCCATAAGGACGAAAAGTCGAACATATTTTATAATGTTATAAAAATTCAGTTCAGAAATGCTCAAGTCTCCACCAACTTAGCATGTTTTCTTATAGTGCAAAAGCCAATGATGATGATGATGATGATGATGATGATGATGATGATGATGATGATGATGATGATGATGATGATGATGATGATGATGATTGCCGTTATAAAGAAAATTCTGATATTGCATGTGTAATAATCCTCAAAGTACTCAAGATCTCGAGTTATTCCGAAAATCTTAAACTAGCAGTACTTATCTATATTACTGATACCAACATTTTTAATTACATTAATTAATAATTATAATGTAGAATGCTTCAGTTTCGAAGTTCCAGATTCAAGGATTCATTAAAATCTTAATAAGATAAACGCTTTATTTTCAAGCAGTCTTGTATTATATTGTATAACATCACAGAACTTAGCACGACTTTTAATCGAAACAAAAAAATCATTATGGTAAACTCACAGGCTGATTTATCCAGGTGTATTATGCTAATGTCAGTCTACTGAATGAGACTAACTGAACGAGGTCTAGATTTTACCATACATACCATTTGTAAATGCAGATTGGACCACGATGCATATTGATTATTGTATTTTGATATGTTAAAATCAGATTGCCAATACTGTTGTTATCACCCTCAAGTAGCAGTCACAGTACTTATCCTGTCTTGTGCTTTGAGATACGACAGCCATTTCGCACGTGCTATTCATTATTGTTATGTTTTTAGTTTGATTAATTGGAGCGCTGTTTTGTTTTAGTAAGTGTTTTGAGGCAAATTGCAACCCAATTTGGTCAAAGAAGTGTCGAAGACTAGAAGTGCTACAAGAAATTAGCAAACACAAAAAAGAAAGAGAG